GGTAATTAGGGTAAATGGAGGTGTTAAACAACCTTATTGTTGCAATCATTTCACAAATACGTATTGTATCGAATCATCATATTAGGCAGCTGAAAACTATACAATGCTGTATGCTGCTTATAAAGCTGAAAAAAATATAATGGTACATACAAGTATGCATGCTCCTGAGGCTGTTCTTCAGGGGAGAGGCTCCAGGAACAGGCAGCGGTGGTCTCCTGAGATGAATTCTAGCGACCTCACTGCTGCCAGGAGGAACTGGCCTCTCGGGTTTGCATAGAACAGCGCGTTTAGGTTACGGTGACCTTGGACCTTGGCAGACCTCCGAGCTGACCCGGGCATCTGCCTCCTGGCAGGCCAGGGACTGGGCGGCCCTGAGCATGCGCAGTTCATTCCCGGTTTGGCCCGCCCCTGCACAGCCTTTGGGCTCAGCCTGATTCCCCACACCTGGCAGGGCCCCAGGGGTGAGGTGCTTCTGCACTGTGACTCTAACTGGGATGTTGGGGGAGGCCTGAAGGAGGATTGGGTTTTGCTTGATAAGTCTGTCTCACATCCACAGGCTGCTTACAGAGGGTCTGGGAGGAAGGGCCTTCCATGCCTAGGGCACCCAGGTGTTTCTCAGCCCAGGCATTTGTCACTCTAATCCAATTCCCAGTTTCTAAGGGCCAAACGTCTAACCAAGTCTCCAGTGAGAACAATTACATTTTACTAAAAAATTCACTGGATGTTATTAGATCATGCAAATCTCCCCAGCTAACGAGTTAGTTAAAATTAACCAAGTCATACATAGACATTAATAATTTTAGCAACATGCTCTGTAAAATGAAAAGACACAAATGCAGGAAATAAGAAAACAATAATTATAACAAAATTACTACTCTAGTACAATAAAATTTTATAAAAGTGTCCACTATTAGTAAAAAGCGTTTTTTGGTTGCCTGTCATACAGTGTTTCATTTCCTTCCTTACTCCCTTCTTTCCTTCCTTCCTTCCTTCCTTCTCTCTCTCTCTCTCTCTCTCTCTCTCTCTCTCTCTCTCTCTCTCTCTCTCTCTCTCTCTCTCTCTCTCTCTCTCTCATTTATTCATTGCTAATCCTCATCCCAGGATATTTTTCCCATTGATTTTTTTAGAGTGGAAGAGGGGTGGGGGAGAGGGAGAGAGAGAGAAACATCAATGTGAGAGAGAAACCTCAATTTGTTGCTTCCTATACATGTCCCGACTGGGCTGGGGATCAAACCTGCAACCCAGGTATGTGCCTTTGACTAGGAATGGAACCTGCGACCCTTCAGTGCGTGGGACAACACTCTAACCACTGAGAAACACCAGCCAGGGCTCACATGGTATTTCTATTTTGAAATAACTGTTCACTGGTTTGACCAACCTCTCTTACATATTAATGAGGCAAAATTTTTACATTTTCCTGTGGTACCAGTTCAGTGTTAATGGTACACTTCTAACCACCTATTTGCTGCAAGCAACACCCTACTCTACACTGCCACCGGACTCTCTCAATTAATACTCCATCTGATGGTAGTACCATCTCAGAATGGATGGTCAGTTGTAGAAAAAGTAAATTTTACATATTAATCAAAATATGGAAAATAATTTGAAAAAAATTGACTTTACTGATCTCAGATCTGTGGCCCCCTTGTGCAAAGTCTAAAACATATGAGCTGAGAATCACAGGATACAGTCCTGAGTGTAGTAGGAGGGACTGACATGAGAGGTGTTATAAGGGAAGAAGCCATGAAGCTTGATGGCAACTTGCTGACGAGTTGGATATAGAAAGTGAGGATAATGGCAGGTGTCATAGGTGGCCCTGAAGGTTTGAAGCTGGGTATATTGCAAGTCTCCCCGTTGCTCTTAGGACACACTTGGGAATTTTGACCATGTGATATCTGATCCCTGACTCCTCACTTACCACCACTATTCCCCCTAACTTACTGTGCTGCAGTTCTCAGAAGCCACTGGGCTACTTCCCAACTCAGAGCCTTCAGAAGCCACTATGGCATAAATGTTATTTGTCTCACTTGCTCCCTGTTATCTGGTTAATTCATATACTCAAGGCTTTGGCTTATATGCTGTTTTCTCTACTCCCACCCCAGACTAGGGAAGACCCCTATTTTAGGTGCCCATAGCTTACTGTACTTTTCTTCATAGCACTTAATACAGTTGTAATGATTTGTTAATGTGTCTCTATTCACCACTAGATGATAAGCTCCATGAGGGCAGGGACCATGTTTGACTTGCTCATTGTCTATTCCAAGAGATTAGCATAGAGCATGGCACTTAGGCAGCTGACACGGTTCACAAAGCATGGGAGGATATTTGAGTGAACACGTGGTACCTACAACCTGGAGTACTGTCCCCTTCCTTCCTCCCCTGCCATCTGGGTAACTCCTGTGAGCCTCCAGAACTCGGTGTATGCGCTGTTTTCTCAGGGATGCTGTTTCTGACCAATCTCTTTCACATGGTGTGACAGCAGAAGGGAGTGAGGAGGAAAAGCTCCTTCACGTTCAAGGTAACTTCCCTTTCAGGTATGGCTAGTTTGAGGCGAGGGTTAGATACTAGGCCCACAGACCTCATTTATGTGGAGTGATTAGAGCTGCCAATGAAGACTTGGGAGCCAGTCCCATCCAGTTGTGAGTTACTAATTTCTAAGAGAGAATAAATGATTAGAGACGGTCAACAAAAGATGCCTATATTGAGATGGAGAGAAGCAGTTTTAAGAATGAGAGAATGTTTAAACTTTCAAATATTTTAGATAGGTCAAGGAGAACAGAGGTCCTGGAAAGATAATTGGACTTGAGGGATGAAGCACTGGGGAGTGCAGCTTTTACAAAATGATGAGATTGAAATGTAGGTTGTAGGCAATTAAAGAGAGATAATGAAAATAGCAGGTATAGAATGCTTTTTAAGAAGTTTGATGTTAAAAATTGGGAAAACCAGGAACTAAAGAGTATAAGGTCAATTAAGGTTTTCCAAAATAGGACAGAACTTCACTACCTTTTACAGTGGCAAAGTCTGAAATCAGTTGAATCTTTTGATCAACTGTTTTTTGTTTTGTTTTTAAGAAATACTATCTCTTTAGCTTTTACTGCATTACCCTATCTCTCTTCCTCTCTCTTTTGCTCCCTCTCCTCTCTTTTTTCCCTCCCTAGCCCTAGACTTGTGCTGTCCGTAGGTAGCCACTAGGCACATGGCTACTGAATACTTAAACTGTATATAGTCTGAATTACATGCACTATAAGTATTAAAAAATCACAACAGATTTTGAGGACTTGGTATGAAAAAGTAATGTAAAATATTTTATTAATAATTTTATATTGATTATCTGTTGAAATGATATTTTAGATGTATTTTACTAAATAAAATATATATTATTAAAATTATCTCACATTTCTTTAACTATCTTTTAATGTGGCTACTAGAAAGTTACCTATTACATCTGTGGCTTACATTATATTTCTCTTGGCAGCCTTGCTCTAGACCAGTGATGGCGAACCTTTTGAGCTCAGCGTGTCAGCATTTTGAAAAACCCTAACTTAACTCTGGTGCCGTGTCACCTATAGAAATTTTTTGATATTTGCAACCATAGTAAAACAAAGACTTGTATTTTTGACATTTATTTTATATATTTAAATGCCATTTAACAAAGAAAAATCAACCAAAAAAATGAGTTCGTGTGTCACCTCTGACACTCGTGTCATAGGGTCGCCATCACTGCTAGGCTCTATTGCCTGGGTCCTCTCTCTCAGCTTCAGAAACCACCTCTAGGTAATTGACACATAAATATATATCTTTACATTAATGTATGTTCAGACCTCTCCTCTGAGCCCCAGACCCTAATATTCAGTTGACAATTAGACATCTTCTTCTGGAAGTCTCAAGAGCACCTCAAACGCAGCACATGGGAAATCAGACTTATCTTCTGCTCTCCTTTCCCCAAACTTGATCTTCTTCCAGTATTTCCAGACTCAGTGATTACCATCATCACCCTGCTGCATAAGCCAGAATTTTAGATCCTTCTTCTTTGAACCTTACGTCCACTCTTTCATGAAGTCCTGCTCATTTTATATCCTAAAGATTTTTTCAATTTGTCCATTTCACTCATTCCACCACCTAGGACAGGTCACCGTAATCACTTTCCTGCGAAATTTCCATACCCAATTTTGCCAGTTTCCAATCTATTCTTCATGCTTCTAGCAAGAATTAAGTTATAAAATGTGAATCTGATCATGTCAGCCTTCTTTATAAACACTTCCCATGGATTCTTATTGCTGTTAGAATGAAAACCAAAATTTGTAATATTGTTTACAATAACTCCACATAATTTGTCCCCTGCCCACCTTGCCACCCTCCCTTGTTTTGCCTAATTCGTTTTGCCTCACTGACCCTCTTTTAGTACTTTGAACTGGTCATATTCCCTCCAGAAATAGGGCCTTTGTATATGGTCTCACAGCTCTCCCACTTCTTCCCCTGATAAATGCTGTTCAGCCTCCAGATTTCAGCTCACTCATCACTTCTTGAAGGAAAGCTTTCTGTCACCTCCCCCACTCCGCTACCCACCACAAGTAGTAATGACAGTGACAGTGGCAGTGATGATAGCATTTATTGAGCATGTATGTAGGCCCCCTTCTAGTGCTTTACACACAATTCATTAAGCTTTAAAACTACCTTTTAGTTCCATTTTCAGGGTATAATCCATTATAATACCCATTTTTATGAGTAAATTGATGCACAGATAGATTAAATAATTTTCTTATGATCAACTAGAAAGTAGTATAGCCAGCATTCAAAATTAGGTATCCTGGTTCTAGAGTCCACAGGGTTAACTACCACATTATATTGCCTTTTAAGACTAGGCTAAACCTCCCTATTATAAGTTTCATATCTCCAAAAACATTGCCTTGATAATAGTAAAGTTGTAATTTTAAATTCATCTGGGTGATTATTTGGTTAATGTCTGTCTCCTATAACTGCCCCCCCATTTTTTATTTTACAAATGTCTAAGGTAGGAAAACAAGGCTGCCCAGCTCGTTGCAGCCCTGATAATTATTCTCAAGGGTTGATCTTGGCTTCCAGCCCTAGCTGAGGAGAAAGAAGCTCCATGCAGCCCCATGGAAGAGAGGCCCCCCCCCTAATTTTTTTAAGGGGAGAAGAGGCAGGTAACATATATGCTTTTGTTTATTGCTTAACCATAGTGCCTAGTATTGTAGCTGGCATAAATTAGAGACTTTATGGGAGGGAGGGAGGGAGGGAGGGAGGGAGGGAGGGAGGGAGGGAGGGAGGAAGGGAGGGAGGGAGGGAGAAAGGGAAGAAGGGGAAGAGAAGAAGAAAGCAAGTTCCATGTCTCACGTTATTTCTCTATTGAGTATAGCTTAGCCAACCACTTTCTATCTCTTAATTCCTACATCTCTCTTAGGAATTCTGACTTTTACTCTGACAACAAATTCAGAGATCCAGTGTGATATGTGCCAAATGATTTTAGCAATTACTTGATTAAGAATAGCTGATTTGCCCTAACCAGTTTGGCTCAGTGGATAGAGCATTGGCCTATGGACTGAAGAATTCCAGGTTCGATTCCAGTCAAGGGCATGTACCTTTGTTGTGGGCACATCCCCAAGTAGGGGGTGTGTAGGAGGCAGCTGATCGATGCTTCTCTCTCATTGATGTTTCTCTCTATCCATCTCCCTTTCTCTCTGTAAAAAATCAATAAAATATATTTAAAAATATTTTTAAAAAAGAATAGCTGATTCATTCTATATTTATTTTAGGCAGAGGATGTCAAAATTGGATCAACTGTTGAGTAATCTATGTATAACATAATTATGAGTGCCAAGTTCTCTAAATACACCCTATGCTGCAGCCATACTGGAGACTATTTTCTTACTCAAGAGCTTTCATGACTGACACTTTGCTTAGCATTCCCTTTCAAATCCTTCTGAGAAAATATCTACATATTTTTTAAGGTCAGGGTCAAATGTCTTCTCCTGGGTAATCTGTAACAAAACAACCACTATTGTTTTTTTGTTTCATGTGTGTGCACATGCATGTTTCTTATATACATGCTGGGCCTAATTATAGAACATTTTGACATGATTTCTCTTTTGAGGGTATGGTATATCCTTGTAGTTAAGTTTGGAAGCTCCCCTGAAGGAGTGGGCATTTCTAGTGTGAAACCCGTCTTCTTTCTCTCACACTCTTGGAAATGGATCTCCCTGGGCTGGGCCATGCCTGAATTCCCCCATGTCTGGGAAAAGACAGCATCTGCTTTTCAGAGATAGACTTGGAGATATGTAAGGAGGCCTTGCTATTGGGAACCATAAAGGCAAGATGAGTAATTCATTCATACAAACCAGATTGTCGAGATCAGCAGCCTTCAGACTATTTCAACACCCTGATCTGTCACAATCAGTTATGAGATGCATGGTAATTAATGCATTCCTAAGGATAAAGTATCATAGTTTAATGTGATTTACTTTTTTATATGACTAGAGTGAATTACAGATTATCTTAATAATACCTTCCTCACTCCTTTGCATTGTAATATGTTATCTTGAATGGGAGAAAAATTAAGAGAAATAATAGTTAAGCCAGTAGAAAATTGTTCATTCATTACATGAAGAAGTCCATGGAAGTGTGTCACAGTCAACATCATCTGCCAACTTGCTTTCACAGTGGAGAGAAAGGCTTGACAACTACTCTTCTAGCTGTATGTTACTACATTTTTTTTCCATGACTAGTAAATTCATGTATAGATGTTCCTTCTTAACCTTCGCTGTGTTTTAGGGAATTACTTGGGCCAGAGTGAATGGGAGAGCAGTGCTTTCTTGAAGTCACCATGACTTGGGCAGCCGTGTTGACTACTTCCCAAGGGGAAAAATGAGTATCTGGGAACAGGTATATGGGCTGTGAAGATTTGCTTTTCCCACAAGAAGATTTGCTCTCCACTGCCAAACTAAAGTGTTATTTTATTATGGAAAAGGCATTTTTTTTTACAGAAAGCTTTTTAACACTCCCCAGGCAAATTAATTCATTCCCATCTGTTCTCCGTAGTTCTGAATGTATGATTATACTGTAGGTCCTATCACTTTGCATAGTGATATTTGAAAATTATTTGTTTACATGACTGCCTCCCAGTATATTGAGAAGTCGCAGCAAACATTGATGGGACCTTATACTGCTTTGATTTACTATTGCTTAATCAGCATATGCTTGGCATTGTAATAATCACTATCAACTCTTGATCACTGAGTCAAACGTGACCAGAAAAATAGACAAGCATTCATCACATTAAATTTGGAGTGTCTTTTGTTGTCTTGTTGTTTTTCTTATAACAACCTTAGTTTAAGATGCTATTCTTTATTCCACATTTTTAATCATCCATGGATAAGGGGTATTCAAACATTTGTTAATTAATTTATCATTGATGCCATACCAACATACAAAATGTAACATAGGGAATAAAGCAATGAGTCACACTCAGAGTTGTTTTTTTGAAACAGATTTGATAGCATCAGCCCTGGACAAATTTATTCTGGGCCTACTAAATAAAATTCAAGCTCTTTGATTTGGCATTTGGACCTCATCCTTTTTAGGAATCTTCCTGTAATTTCTACATTACGGCATTCTGCTCCCATCAGGTATTTTTTATGCTAGGTAATTTGGCTTAATATAAACCAGGGAGTCCCAGAGGCTTCTCGCCCAGTACCTTCTCTTTTCTGCCTTCCTAATATTTCTAGATTATTTTATTCAGTTCCAAGTCTCTCCTCTCTCTCTCTCTCTCTCTCTCTCTCTCTCTCTCTCTCTCTCTCTCTCGTAACGATTCCTAATCTTTAGCTATGTCTTTTATATTCAATTGCCTGTTCAACATCTCCACTTAGATAACTGATAAGCATCTCAAACATAGCATGGATAAAATAAAACATATTTCTAAATCCAGAACTTCCTCCCCCACACCCTCCTAGAAAGCATTCCTTCTCTAGTCTCCTTCAACTCAATAAATGCTAACATCTTCCTTTCAGATGCTCAAGGCAAAAAATCTAGGCATTTTCCTTGCTAGCTCTTTTTATCCCCTCACATCTGCCTCTCAAATGTAAATCATCAGCAAATTCTATTGGCTCATCCTCCAAAAAATAACCCAATCCCATCTACATTTCTCCATATCCACTACTAATTCTGAACTACTGCAATACCCTCCTAGCTGATCTCCCCACTTCCACCCTTACCATTCACAGTCCATTTTCTGAACAGTTGATGGAGCGTTCCTTTTTAAAATGTTAATAAAGTAATGCTATTTCTTTGTGTGTGTGTTTTTTTTTTTTTTACATTTTTAAAAACAATATTTAAAAAAAAACAAACTTGAACATCAAGAGCAAAACTCTGGCTATTAAAATAATAACAAAACAATGCCAATGCAACACAGCAATAAGAGAGAAATCAAACTACTAATTTGTTAACATTTTTAGCTACTAAATGAAAGTTTCTTTTGCTGCTGGTGTGTATCTACTCAGAGTCCTCAGACTTGGCTGTGCAAGACTTTGCAGAAGACTGGCAGCTAACCAATGCTAGCATAGCCAGAAACGTGGTTGAGGAAGTAGCTTCCACTTCTTGCTTTTCTACTATCTGCTGGGCTTCAGTCGTTAACTTCTTCAGATGATCCCATGTTGGCACCTCGGTTTCTTGCATAGCCTTCAGTTTTCTTCTTCTTCCACTTTGCTGTCATTGGGGCAACTTTCAGTCTTTTGAGTGAAGGGACAAGGAGCTTCTCTGGGTCCATTGTCGTGACACACGTAATGCTCTGGTACCCAAATTGGCTGCACTGCTCATTCTTACTACTTTAATCTGTTGCACAGGGCACTTCTCGGAGACACCCCCTCACATGACTTCCAAGCGTTCCCCTGTACTCAAGTCCCTGGATCTGGGTTGCCAGATGTAAATATGTCTCTCTTCTCCATGCCCAGTGTGGCTGGAGAGTGGTCTGGTTCTTGAGTAGGGGCAGCTGGGATTGAGAAAATGAAAGAAAGAGACAGACACAGAGATGGAAGAAAAAAGCTGGGGCTGGGTGGGACCACTGTCCTCTGACTGGGACAGAGATGGAGACAGGGACCCAGAGATATTTCCTTGTTTTAAAAAATTCTGTCTTGGTTGGCAGAATAATGGCCCCCCCCCCCCCCCCCAAATATATTCTCATCCTAAATCTCTGGAAGTCATCATATGCTATGTTACATGGCAAGAGGGAATTAAATAATCCTGGATTACCCAGTGGGCCCAAAGTAATTTTTTAAATGGTGAGAACAGAAGCAGAAGAATCAGAATCAAAGTGATATAATGTGAAAAATAGTTAACTGGCCATTTTAGTCTTTGGACAGGGGCATGAGCCAAGAAATATGGACAGACTCAGAAGTTGTAAAAGGCAAGGAAATTTTCCCCTACAGCCTCCAGAAGGGATGTTGACACTTTAATTTTAGCCCACTTCTAATCTTCAGAATTGTGAGAGAACAAATTGATGTTTTAAACACTGAGTTTATGGCAATTTGTTACAGTAGCAACAAGAAACTAATACCCCTCCCAAGGCTTATCACACTGCAAATAAAATGCAAACTCCTTACTCTGTGTTACAAACCCTACAAGATCAACTTTTCAATCTCATCACCAACTATTTTTTCCTGCCTTTTATGGGTTCCTCAAACAAGCAATGCTTATTTCTGCCTTAAGAAATTTTCACTACCTCCACTCTGTCTTTCTTTATTTTTAAATTTATCTTTATTGTTAAAAGTATTACAAATCAACCAAAGACCTTGGATGCATATATGCATAACCCATGGACACAAACAATAGGGTGCTGAAGGCCTGGGGTGGGGTGTGGGAGTGGACTGGAGGGGGTCAATGGGGAAAAATACTTTTAACAATAAAGATTTATTTTTTTTTAAAAAGAAAATATTACAGATGTCCCCTTTGTTTTGTTGTTGTTTTTCTTTCCCATTTACCCCCTCCTTCCCACCCCTCTCCCAAGCCTTCACCACACTATTATCTGTGTCCATGGGCTATGCATATATGCATACAAATTCCCGAGTTAATCTCTCCTCTCCCCCACCCACATCTTCCCTCTGAAATTCATCAGTCTGTTCA